TCATCAAAAATCAAGTAGAACTGATTTGTATTCCTATTCACTACAATCCCCAGGGCCGTACCGAATGCGGGATTTCGAAACAGGGAAGAACCGTTCACGGCTAAAACCGTGGCCACGAAGAGCTTTCATTTCCCAGACATTTTAAACCTAGTAGCAGCGTGACTTCGGATATACAATGACTCGACAAAATAACTCAGTAAGATACTCACCCTGTCCATTGGCACTCAACATTCAAACTTTACAAAATAGCAACATTTAGTTCTTCGACTCTCTTCCTATCTCAACTGGTGACATGAGTTTGAGTTAAAAAAGAAGATAAAGATAAATTTATTTTCGAACACTTCGTTCATAATTTTGGGGAAAAGGGACGCAATTGAAATATTTTTTTTCATTATCTAATTTTTTTCTTTTAGGTGTCTACATTCCATAAATTTCCAAAATAAATGTATGACCACGAGGGAATCTATTGAATTAGGTTATTGTAAGAAAAAAATTTTCGACGTTTCACAACATAGGTTTCAATAATATGGGTTTGTTGCCAGTAAAAATCACTATCCAAGTTACACGAACTTCATTTGATTAACTAATAGGTTATTGACTCAATTTGTAAGGAAACAATTTTATTTTAAAATTTTTACAATTCCTTTACCGCAGCAGTAAATTGAAAGCTTGAGCGGAAACATAGCGTTCATTGCATCAATCAAATTTTTTTTTTTTATAATTCTTTTTTACTTTATAGGTTCGCATGTTTTTTTTTTTTTTCCGTTCTCAATTCAAATTTATAATAAAATGATGTAATAACCTACGATCGCAACTAAAAAGAAAGTTTATATCCATAAACAAGCAATTTATCAAAAAGATTGTCCATTTTATAATAACATTCAAGTTGCTAATGCTAATAAGGAATTAATCACTCTTTGTAGACTTTTTAATTTTCATTAATCATTAATCATATTTCTTAGCTTATTTTTCTTCCTTAACATATAAATTCTTTCATTTATGGGAGTGTAGAAGCATAATTTTTATAAAATATTAAAGATAATTTCGTATTGTTCGTAGCCAAATAGAATTTTAGTAATTATTTTCTCTGGCATCGAAAACATGACTTTTTACTAAATATATATTTTTACTTGTCAATAAATCTGGATCGCAATTCAAGCGACTTTTAAAGGGAACAAAATAAGATTTAATTTGGAAATAATTTGTGCACTTGGGAAAATTCATCGTGTCTTTTTTTACTTAGCCGACCAGCTTCATTTTCTCATGTGTAATCACTTTACAAAAATATAACAAAATTCGCTTTGAAAATTAAAATATTATTATACTATATTTTATGTAGGATAAAAATTTAACTAATATTGTTTTAGCCTAATTGCACAATTTTTTTTTTAGATAAAAATAAACTTATACTATTCATAATCAATACCAACTATCGGAATAATAAATTCGTCTTTATCAAAAAAGGTGAGGCTCCAATATAAACTCGAACAAATTCTCTAGCATTTCTACTAGTTTCGATAGGTCGAATATAATGGGTGAGAAGAGCATAGCATTCAGAATTAGTGAGGATCTGTTGTGAAGAAATGTGATATTCAATCAAAGTAGAGGGACGTACACCTTGAATGTCAGGGAATTCATGCATTCAGCCTCTGGCTCCATTAGCTTGATAAACACAGAAAAAATTTGGTCAGGAATATTTAGAGAAAAATAATAATAGCCATTCAAAAATGCCTACCTCATGTCTATAATAACGCCGCGCTTGATTGATCGAAGCGTTAGCAATTCTTCCTTTCTAAAATTTGCGTAAACTACGCAGGGGGCATGCTTCAGTACCTATAACATTTGCTATATAAAAAGTAAACTAATAACTGTTTCGGTAGTTCTTTTATTAGCCGATCAATACAATTTTAAAAATACAAGATGTGATTAAATATGATCGTAGTTGAACTAGTCGGATTTGCCAGGTATTACGCAAACCTGATTCTTTGTATGGAATGTATACATTAAAAACCTATACACACTATACAAACATTTAATACCATACTATATCAGATTTGCGTGAATATCCTATGAAAGAATTAAGAGCTGAATCGGCTTCACAGAATTCACAATAAAAGAAAACCTTAGCTTAAACGTTTCAGTCTGACCGTTCCTCCATTCATTACAAGAAAGTGAAATTGTTTGACTAAAATAGGAACATTCGGTTTGCCAAATGTTGGATGCCTTCGGAGTACATGTGAAGGAGGTATAACATCATCTGCAATTAACCCCACGTTACTTCTCTATATTTGGGATAATTACTTCTTTTAAACAACCTATAATTTGAGTGTGATTATAGTGTATTGGTAAGGTTTACCCAAACAACTAGCGATTGGAAAGTTTGGAACTCTTCTGATGCTTTCTAAATGATCAACCAATGTAACGTCTCGATTAAGTATGTCAGATGGTGGTTCAAGCGCTTTCAATATAATCAGCGCACTTATTAAATGTTGTTTCATTAACTGTATATTGTATCAAATACTCGATAAACGCGATACGTGCTGGAATGAAGTAAGACATCTGTGTTTCCGTTCTCATTTCTAAATATGTTATTTAGGAAACAAGCGTAGGTGTCATTGGATCTCTAGAGAACATAACATCTTTAAAGACATAAACATTAAATTTTGTGAGAAATCTACGATAGGCACAAAAATAAATTCTAGAATTCCTTGTATGATATCGGCAAACTGAAGATACCTGCACGAAGTTGGTATAAAGCACTCAGAATTTGAATTCAATGTTGGCAAATAGGAAATAGGCGAACTATGTTTGTATTTTTTTTTTGTAAATACTTTGATTCACTTAAACCTCCAACTAAAATTATTGCCGAATAAGCTTCCTAGTCGTCAACCATTTCAAATTTTATGAAATGTTCTCTCAATGGTGATAAGGTATTATAATTAAACTGTAAAAATTTTTCAACAAGGTAGACATCGATATTTTTGACTTTATTAACTTTTTATGCAAAATAAATATGTTCTTAAAACATTGATATTAATAACGATGTAATATAAGAGGTAATTGCCTATTTACAATAATTATTTAGTAATCTGCGTAAGTTCATCAGTAGGTTGTTTTGAAAACGCTCGAAAAAATATTCACATCATCAATGTCTAATCTGACGGCTTCTATTAAAAGCTTGTAATAAAATTTTGGCATGAAATCAAGCAGAAAATTCTGTTTCAATCGAGTCAGTTGATCTAAATCCGTCATTTCATTTGTTTCAATGAGTAGCATTTCACGACCTGAGCCTTGGACCCAAGCTTCATTTAAATGTACTGCCAATTTGGTGGTATCAAGAAAGAATACCTTCAAAGCTTATTGTATTTTCGCGCATATTGATTTAGATGAGAATATTGTTGAGAGCATCAATAGCGATAATCCAACCTTTAGTTTAAATCCCCATCCTCAATTAGTTCAGTCTTTATCTGAATAACATGTGATCTACCATTGGAGATATGTACTCATATTCTTTTCTTTCGATCGATTTCATCTATAGCCACTTTACAAAGAGGAATCATTTAAAGCGGAAATATGTGAGAAATTTCAATTGTTTCGACATTTCGAAAAAACAAAAATTGGAAGGGATACTTGTTTGAATATTGGTGAACAATTTGAGGATCTGACCTATAGAAAAATTCTGTCATTTATGCAACTTTTTCCAAAGTGGTATTCAAAAGATTGTTCACTCAAAAAGTCGAACGAAAATTGATGCCCTCGGTGTCCTCTAAAGGGACCAACTGGTCTTTTACAGAAACCCATCAATGCTTTTGGTTGGAAAAGAGCCAATAATTTAACGTTGGTTCAGGAATTTCTCTTGAGGATCCAAAAACGTAACAAAATTTCCGCTAATAAAACTCGGAAATCCATATTTCCCAATTTTTGTATCGACGTGTTGTTGTTTTCGTTTTTCACTGACCATGAGCGAGTCAAAATCTTAAATTTTTCATTATTGAATATAAAGATAACAGGGACGCTTAGTAGAAATTTGAGAGATGTAAACGGCCGTCGATTATTATATGAAACTGAGTAAAGTTATATGTTGTTAGAAGCTTTTGTAGGAATAAACACGTGTTAAATAATAAGATATTATTTCAAAGGATAATTACTATCAATAATATAACGAAATAAGATTCTCCTTGTGACCGTAAGATTTACAAGTTGAAGGGACGATAATCCTGTATCTCAGCGGAAGGATTTATTTAATCCGAATATTTGAAAGTGGAACGTTTAGTTAAATACTTTAAACAAAGTAATTTTATAAAAATTTTCCATGCAAGCAGAAACACACCTTATTTAAATGAAATTCTGTGCTTTTTTTTTACGCCGAATCAAATTATAAATTTGGTTAAGATCGGTACATGTGATCCGTCAATAATTCCTCGGGCCAATATGTCTTCCGACATTATAACTAGTTGTTAGTTCCTATTAATTAATTTGATTGGGTTTTCTCTGTATTGGTGAAGATGGTGAACAAAGCAAGCCGGGAAAAAAAATTTATGATAATTGATATTGATATTGCATTATTAACGAATAAAAAGTGATACGAACTAATTCGATCCAATCGTAAATAGTGTAACATACGTTATTTTTATCTGAACATGCACCAGGGATTTAAAAGTTAAATAGAGTTTTAAGGATTAAAGTTGGTAAGGTAGTTATTTAGTACTACGAATGAGTCTAATTTGAAAAGGTTTTATTTCAAATGAACTCTATAATTTTGAAATAAGTATTATCTGTAATCATAAATTATTAATTCAATGCTTTTAATGCTTTTCATCTATTTATAATTTTTTGTTTGACTTTAGTTGCTTCTTCTCGTTCTCTAACCTTTACTACTAATTTATTAATAGTAACTTACTTGTCTTTAGATTCTTCTTCTCGCTCTATAACCTTTCTTCGTCTTTACGTCAAAAAGAAAATTTCATTACTATGCGGTGTGCATATGAAACCACACCGTCTTATTTATTGGATTTCGGAATGGAAAATAAATGAAAGTTTATTAACATTAAAGAAAATGTAGATAATAACCTACTTCGTCAGCTTTTAGATGAATTATGAGGTCAAATATAATTTTAATTAACCGTCCCCGTATAAAAAAAATTATTTAACTAATATTCGACAAGAATTAATTTGTCAAACATTAATTATACAATGAAGGTTACACCAACATGTATTATTAATATTTTATCGTTATTTTAAATCGTAATTTTAAATTAAATTGCAAGCTTCTGTATTTATTAGGAATCCTTATTTCGGAACTTATATCGTTGAAGTTCCAAAATGATCGACATTTAAATGTATTTCTGAAAATGGCAATAAAATATAAATCATTAAGATCGCGAAACGCCACAATGCAGCATTTGTGTAATGAAATTTCTAATAAAAAGCCGAGCCGAATAAATAAAAATTTTGGAAAAAAAAATGTCAGAAGAAATTAACGAATACCTTATTTGGATAGAGAAATCTATTGCCGACGAAAATTTGAATTTTTATGAATATTCAGACTTCAACAATATACAACCAATAGGAAGTGGTAATTTTGGAAAAGTTTCTCGTGCTAATTGGAAAGGCAGTGATGCATTTTTGCTTTGAAGTCGTTTGACAGTTATAACCCTTAAAGAAAGGCATTGAAATATCTAATTAGATAAATATCAGAATAATTAATTAACTTGAAAAGTAAATTCTTTACAGATTAAATTACGATTTTATGGAATTACAAAAATAGGATGTGGTAAGAATTGAAATAATATTAAATTTAAAAAATTTATTATGAATATTAATTTTAAACTATATTGATGTAATTCATCAAACGAATAAATACTTATTAGTAATTATTTAAATCAGAATTTTGAGAAAGTTGATTGGAATGACAAATATCAGCTGGCATTCCAATTAGCAAGTGCTGTAGGATGTATGCATAATAATGAAATTATACATCGTGATCTGGTAATGTGTGTTTTGTTTATTTTGTTATTTATTTGTATGTAATGATTTATATTTAATTACGTTGTTGTTTTAAATTTCTTTAATCACAGCATGCAAATAATATACTTATGCATCAGAAAAACATTTGGTTTATCAAGAAAGTTGCCGAAGCTTCAAACAATGCAAGAATTTGACGTAATACCGTATATAAATCCAAAATGTTTAGATAATCGAAATAAGAGCTATGTAATGAATAAAAAATCTGATGTTTATAGTATTGGAGTCTTGATGTGGCAAATTTCTAGTGGATGTATACCATTTAACGGTGTTGATTATGATGTGAGTTATCCTTAAGTATCGCAAGTGGAAAAAGAGAGAAAATGATCGAAGGTACTCCATATAATTACTATATTATGATTATAATAAATTTTGTTTTTGATTATTTATTTATTTATTTGTTTACATGGTTAGAATGTTGAAAAGATGATCCAGAAAAACGTCCAAATACAAAGAGGTAATCTCAATACTTAAAAAAAAAGTTTCTTCTGACGACGATCACGAGGAACATAAACGAATGATAAATCCAGCCTTAAATCTGATGTATAAAGTGAAATAAAGATAGATAATGATGATTTGATATTAGATGAATTATTCGATCAATTTAAAAATATTTAAATCTGAAAATAATTCAAGCTTGCTAAAACGAAAATATTTAAACATATCTGAAGCTAAAATTAATATATTAAATCTGTCTTTTCAAATTGCAAATTCATCAAAAAGCTCATTGAATTCAATAGAATCAATATATAATAATCCGATTAATAATATTATTGATAAGTTAATCAATTATATAATTAAAAAACATAATGAAGGCATCTTCTCACTTGATCAAATTGAAAATCTTATTAAAAAGCCATTATTGAAATTAAATCAAACCATAAATATTCTTATAACTTGGCTTGTTAAAATCCAAAATAAACTGCAATATATGTGGTTTCTTGGATTTTTTCATTATCATAATATTGATATAGATGAAGTTAGTAGAATAACATTTGCATTATTTTAAAAAGCAGCAAATAATAATTATTCAATTGCACAAATTTATCTTGCTAAATGCTATTATAAAGGATATGGAACTGAAAATAATCATGAATTAACTTTTGAGTATTATCAAAAATCTGTAGAAAATGTTATCAATATGGGAGAGGTATTGAAAAATATGAAATTAAAGCTATTAAGTATTATAAAAAAGTATCTGAAAATGATAATATTTTCAACTTGGATATTGTTATAAATTTGGAATTGAACTGAAATTAATAAAGATAAAGCATTTGAATTTTACAAAATTGCAGCTGAAAAAGGACATATTGCTGCACAATATAATTTAGCTATATATTATCAAAATGGAGAAGGTATTAAAAAGTTAAAGTTAAAGCATTTTAATTTTACAACTAGAGTTTGCGGTTTATGAGGGACTTCGTCCCTGTTTAGCATTAAGTGATTGATTGCGTATATAGTTGCCTGGAAAAACTCTCAGGTTTCGACTGGATCATTGGCAAAACTGTAATAAAACCTTATTGGCAAACCCGTTGAAACTTGAAACCATAATAAAATCCGTCAAAAGTCAAAACTTATTAACAAATCCGTCGAAATACAGGGTTTCGACTTTTGCCATTTACTAAAATGAGTTTTGTCAGTTTTAAATAAAAATATAAACCAAATTTCTGAAATCATTTAATTGTAATAATAAAAAAGAAGTTTAATTTTTATTAATTAAATTTTTCTAATTTAATTTTTCTTTTCAGTTAATTTTTTTTTATTAAAAATTGATTTTGTTGATTTTCATAGTTAATTTTTTTTCGGTTATACATTTTTTTTTATTTTTCTTTTTCTATTTTATTTTTTAATACCCGTGATTTCATTAATTGATTTTTAAAAATAGCGATTTAAAAAATAAATCTAAAAAATAAAATTAAAAAACCGTGGATATTAATTAAAATCATTATTTGAATTTTAAATATTTTTAATAATTTTTAAATTAGTTTTTTTAATCTTATTTAAAAATCTTTTTTAATGCTCGCAATCTTTTTTTCAAAATTTTTTTTTCAGATTTAATAATAATATGATTTTAAATTAATGATTTTTGTTCTTTTTTTAATTTAATTTTTAATTTTTTTTTTTTTTTAAATAATTTAGTTGTTTCTTGTTACAGTATTTAATATTATTTTTATTTAATCTTTGTTACAGTATTTAATATTATTTTTATTTAATCATTTTAATATTCACGAATTTTTTTTATTTATTAATTTTAATTTAATTTATTTTTTATTTTTGTCGATTTATTATTTTGATATTTAATTTTAATTTTTTAGTAATTTAACAACACAAATTATAATTTTCATACTAAAGAATTTTTTATAATACATTTTAATACAAATATAAAGAAATGAAATGAAGTACTATATTTTCAAAAAAATAAGGAAATAAATTTAAAATAGTTTTTTTTATTTTATGTAGTTTATTTCCTTTATTATTATTTAATTTTTTTAGCTTTCGATCAGTTCAGTGCGATCGGTCTATTGCGGCAAAGGTAAGTGATCGGGGCGAGGAAATTTTTTTCTATTTTTTACATTATTTTATTTGTTTTAATTAAAAATATTATTTTTTCTTTTTTTTTTCCTAGCTTTCGATCAATTCCGTACGATCGGTCCTTCATGGCAAAGGTAAGTGACCGGATTTTTTTTATTCGTTTTTTTTTCCTACATTATTTTAATTCTTTTATCA